CTGGATGGAGTACACCAGAACAGATAGGAGGGCCCTTCACCAGCTGCAGTTGGTGGCCCACTAAGCCAGATGCCATTTGTACCACAGCGCATCCAAACTATATCACTGTATCAATAGGGTTGCTTTAAAAAAAAAAAGATTACCATCATATTAGTGGCTGGAGCTGGCCAGCTGGAGTCAACACTGCCCCTATCTAAATCAGTGCTGGCTATCTCTTTGCCCCTAAGCTCAATTCTCACCAATAGATCTGTTCCTTAAGACCTCAAACGGCTTCTTCTCTTTGTGTCCAGGAAGATACTTCCTTTAACCTCAAAGATTTTGCCCTGAGCCTTCTTGTCAGATGAGATTTGAAAGGTGCTGGGAACACAGCCTTGCTGGCAGTGCCATCAACTTTGTAGCCTCCTGAACAATCTCACAGGAGCCTCTGACAATTGCAAGGCAAAAGTCCACCCTATTTATGGTTGCTGTGATTGAGGAGAATGGTATGCATCAAAAAATGACAATAAAACTCCACAGACAGCCATTTACAAAGGGAAGAAAAACACACGCATCACACATGTCATCTGGCTTCAACTCCACCTTCACCCATCTTTCTTCTCCATCACTTAAGCCAGTGGTTCTCAACCTGTGGGTCAGGACCCCATTTGGGGTCGAACGACCATTTCATGGGGGTCGCCAAACAACGCAGTCCGCCATTTTCTTTTCCCCTTTTCCTTAGCTGTGCTACTCCCGTTTATTCTATTGGCTTTTGAAAGCCAATAAAATAGACTCTCTTGAATAAGTCTAATTCTATTGGCTTTCAAAAGCCAATAGGAATTGTCCAGGCTGTCTCTGCCCTGCTGAGCCCGCCAAAAGTCCCATTCTGCAAACAGTGCTGCACCAGTTGAGTAGTCCTCGACTTACGACCGGTTGAGTAGTCCTCGACTTACGACCGGTTGGAGGTCGCGGCATTAAAAAGGTTGAGAACCACTGACGTAAGCCCATCCAGTCAGGCCCCAGTTGGTTTCCTTCCTCCACACTGTCTTCTCTGAGCCTTTTGCCACATCAGACACCAACATCCCACCTTCAAGTCCTTCCTGAAGACTCTCAGAAAAAAAGATCTCATTTCACTCTCCACCTGCCACCTGATTCTCCCTCACACCTGGGCCTTGCTCCTCACATTTCAGGTTCCAAAGGCGGCTGTCCCAGGTGTGCTCATTCAAGGTGATACACCTTGGGGACAAAGGTCTCATGAACATTGCTGGACCTTAATAAATAAAACAGTGGCAGAGAAAGTCACTTCTGGGGTTGCCGGAGGGTGGGAAGGGAGAGTAGGGTCAGGAAGACGTGTCTGGTCCACTGCAAGTACACCTATGAAAATAAACCTGCGGCTGCCCCATTATGTGGGTTTACTTTTTCTAAGGGACGTACCAGAGCTCAAAGCTGAGAGACTTTCAGAAGCATTTAAGAGCCCCTGCCCTGCTACTTTCTGATGAAGCAACAGAAGAGACAAAATAAAAAAATAACACAAAAGCCAAGTTGGATTTTACAGGCTGGGGTCCTTTCAGGGCAGTGGTTCTCAACCTTTTTAATGCCGCGACCCCCAACCGGTCGTAAGTCGAGGACTAAACCGGTCGTAAGTCGAGGACTAAACTGGTCATTAAGTCAAGGATTTTCCCTGCCCAGGAGCGCCGCGCATGCGTGGTGCCGCCCCCTGCGCCGGCTGAGACGTAGCTGGCAAGTGGCAGAGATGGAGCAGGCCGACCAGCGGCTGGGCCACCAGCTGACCCAGCCCAAGGGAGGTAAGGCACCCACTGGAAAAGGGGGAAAAAATGGCGGACAGCCTTGCTTGGCGACCCCCGTGAAATGGTCGATCGACCCCAAATGGGGTCCCGACCCATAGGTTGAGAACCGCTGTTTTAGGGAAAGGAGAACTAATTTCTTCTGTTTGGAACATTATCATCCTGTGGGAGTCTGAAAGAGCGGGGGGAGGGGGGACAAGGAAGCCTGCAAGCCCCTCTTTGGTGTCTCAAATATTCAGACTTTTACAAACTCAAACTCTCTGGCTGGTTGGGGGGGGATATGGATCTTTCCCCCCCCCCACTTCCAATGCCCTGTGCCCTACCACCACAAGATCTGGGGAGATTGTATCCTCTTGTTTGCCAACACACACACTTTGAGCAACCTCTCTCCCACTCCCCATGTCTCCTGTCTCTTGTGTATTTTGGCATGCTTTCTCTCCCACTGCATTTGACTGCCAACACTATTAACACAAAGTGTTGTAAGTGTGGGGGGGAGACAGAGAGAGAGAGAGAGAGAGAGAGAGAGAGAGAGAGAGAGAGAGAGAGACATACTCATGCACATAAGCCTTTGGCTCCTGCAGCAAAACCCATCTCCTCCATCATCACCTCCCCACTGCACAACGCACAATGCACCAACGATAAAGCAAATCTCCCCATTTCTTCTCACCCAGCTAGGCGGGAACGCTGGGATTCCTCACTGGCTGACTAAGGCAGAGAGGTGCATTTGAGGGACGGGGGAAGGAAGAGCAGCTTTTCTCTTCTTTTTCTAGCTACTCACAGCCGATGTGAAGTGGGGCATGCCCCCCATCGCCCCACAGAAGAGCACCCCCCCCAAAAAGAGATCCCCAGAACTGAGCTTTGACACGCGCATCAACATTTTTGTAACCCAACCAGAATAAAAAAAGCGGGAGGGAGGAGCCCTACCTAGATACTGTATGTGTGTATGTGTGTCTCCACTCTCCACGCACACATACACACATTAGTCACCAGGATTCTTTTATTGTTGCAGCATCTGCCCTGAATTCTCTCTTCTCTTCTTCCCTCCCCCCCCATTGTTTAAACAAGACACAAGAAATGGGGGTGGAAAAGTGTGCTTTCTCTTGTTGCCTCTGCAGAAGACAAAAGCATGTGGCATGGTGATTACTCTTTCGGTGTGTCTGTCTGCCTGTGCGTAGGGATGTGTGAGCCTCCCTCTCTTTCACTCAAGAGATTAGCACAAATTTAGAGGGGGGGAGGGAAAAAGTACAAGGGGGGGGGAAGTGAAGGAAAGATTTTTACCCACATGTGTGGGTAAGGGGGAAAAAAACACCGTGTCACAGGAGTTGCAGCTGAATTGTTTCGCAATTCAGTCTCTCTCTCTCTCTCTCTCTCTCTCTCTCTCTCTCTCTCTCTCTCTCCCTCTCACTTTTTCAAACCTTAAATCAATGGGACCGGCAGACTCAGTCTGCAAAAATCTCCCTTAATCTCCAAAGACAAAACAAAATAATGCTTAAACTGTTTGAAAGAGGCTTTACCTTCCAAATTACCTTTTTTTTGGGAGGGGGGGGGGAAATAGCTAGATTTTTAAAAGCAAAGAGGCGCTAATGAACGCATGGAGGGGGAAAATGTATGCAATCCTAATTTCCTGCAAGCAGACCTTCTGCAGAGAGTTAAAAACATACATTCTCTGTTGGCACCCATTCCCCCAGACCAAAAAAAAAGGCACATATTCCATCAGTGCACAAAAGAAAAAGAAGAAAAAAAAAAAACCCAGAGACAGTTAAACTGATCTTAAAAGAGATCCGGAATACATCACTACCCAAAATATCTCAATTTGCGGTGCAGCAGATTGAGAGTTTCTTTTGATGTTGGGGGGGGGGGAGTGAGCAAATGAAAGGAAGGGTTCTGCTGTTTTTCCAGATCTCTAACCAGTGGGAGATCGAAGGATCTTCCCCGTCACCCCACTCTGCCTGCCTCGATCATAAGGTAGCCTTTCATTTTTCTTTCCTTCCCTCCCCCAACCCCCAGGTTGTGTTACTTTACAACCCAGACTGCAATGTCTTGGAGGAATTACTCTATATCTGCTCAGTTTGCTGCTGAAGGCAGAAAAGAGCTAGCTACCTCCTGCCTTAGATGCAAGCCGCAATCCCCTCACAGCCAACCTGAAAAATCGGTGGATGGGTGGTGGGAGGAAGCAGGCTAAGGCGGCAGCGGGGGGGGGGGGGATGTTCATGTAGACGAGGTTTGTCTCATAAACTGAAGGTAGGGCTGTCCTTCCCGAGGTATCACCGAGCCTTCAAACCACGCTAATCAGAAAAAAAAATGGCCAGGAGGGAGAACAGACCAGGATGGAGAACAGACCAGGATGGAGAACAGCCCCTTCTCAAGACTCTCTTTCAAAAACCTCACCTATCACTGCCAATTGGCTTCAACCTTCAGCCTGGGGAAGGGGGGCGAGGGGGGGGAGGAGCAGAGGATGTCTCAGTCTTCTCCCCAGCAAGACTATAGAGGGGGGGTGGGAGGGAAGAGAGAGAAAGTTATTTTCCTCCCCATACTTCCTGCGGGGGGGGAGGGGAAAGGGTTGTTCATTTCTCTTCCGCACCCCTCCTCTTGGGGAGATGGAATGACCTATAAAAATTAGCTGTAGACCCTTTGCGCTTCGCGCCCCCCCCCCAAAAAAGACATTTGTTGGCTGGGAAGCGGCAGGGGTTTTTTTTGTTTTTTTTCCAAAGGAGCTACTTCGCCATCCAGAGTCTGCCTGACTTCTGAGAAAGAAATCAAATCGGCAGCAGAGGCAGGCGGAGATGTTTCTGGAGGATATACAAAGGATCCGCGTTCTTCTTCCCGCCCGGAGACCTCCTCCCTGCAGAGATGCCACCCGCCACCTTCCCTTGGCTACCTCCAAGATGATCCCTGGTTCCCAAGCCCTGCCTTCCCCTCCCCCCCCCTCTGCTGGACGCCAGGCAGACTTCTGCCTCTGCTGAACTCCCCCGGAGGAGCATTAAATTCCCCCCCCCTTGCCGTCACACTAGAGGCGCCGAGTGGCCCCTTCTCCCCCCCCCAAAAAAAACCACCCTCAACTATTAGGGAAGGTTCAATCGGAGGATTCCTGTCGGGCATTTGGGGATGAGACAGATCTTGGAAGCTGTTACTAGCACCCCCCATTTCCATCTTGGTACGGGGAGGGGGGGAGATAGGAGCCAGAGGTAAGGGGGGAGTGGAAATGGAATTGCATCTTACACTTCTCAACTCCTGAGTGCGGTCCTTCATTTCGATTCCTGTGGGTCGTCGGTGGGCTCTTCTCCCCCAGGCTCCCTGTGGCACGGCAAACGGACGCGGCGGTGGGGAAGGGCCCCTCTGAGGCGGAGGGGGGAGAAGGCGGCGGGGAGGGAGCGGGAGGGGGTTGCGGGGACTTGCAGGGATGGATCCACGGAGCTTCCCGGCTCAGCCAAGCTGGGAAGGCAACGAGGCTCTAAGGATGAAGAAAGGTTGATGCTGATGCAGCAAGGCAGGGTGGGAGAATGCAGGAAAGAGGGAGAGAGAGAGAGAGAGAGGGAGAGAGAAAGGCAGGCAGGGAGGGAGGGGGAGCCGAGCCGAGAGGCTGAGCATGCTCCCTCCCACTCAAGGGGCCATGGGAGTTGTAGTCTGTCACAGAAGTGAGGGAGGGGGGGGGGGAAGCATCGTAAGCTGGGTTTGCTTTGCTTTCCCACAAATTTCAAGAATCACCTCACCCGGGCAGGAGGAGCCAGTACTTGTTTTGGAGAAGATTTCTGAATGGTTTCTCCCAAGATGACACCGTGCCCGTTAATTTCCAAGTTGCAGAACCAATTTGGGTGAGGAAACCCTTTGAGTCCCACAGAGCAGCAATGGGGAAGTAATTAACTGATGCCTGTAAATATCAGTGGGGGAGGGAGGGAAGAAGCAATATTGGTTGTTGTTGTTAATTGTGAAGTCGTGTCCGACCCATCGCAACCCCATGGACAACGTTCCTCCAGGTCTTCCTGTCCTCTATCATCTTCTGGAGTTCATTTAAGCTCACGCCTACTGCTTCCGTGACTCCATCCAGCCACCTCATTCTCTGTCATCCCCTTCTTCTATTGCCCTCAATCTTTCCCAGCATTAGGCCCTTCCCCAGTGAGTCCTTCCTTCTCATTAGGTGGCCAAAGTATTTGAGTTTCAACTTCAGGATCCGGCCTTCTAAAGAGCAGTCGGGGTTGATCTCCTCTGGGACTGCAATACTGGTTACTCCCACTTTATCCACTTCCAAAAGGTACAGTGAACTGGTGGCAACCAGTGCAAATCTGAAACCCAAGAAAGTTGTAATTAAAAGTACTGTATTCGGTTCCAAGTGTTATGGCAGCTTTGAAAATGCACCTGCAAGCTTCTAGTCCACAAAAAAAATACATTTAAAACTGGTAGAAAAGGAACGAAGTTTTCTCCTGTTCTTCCACAAAATGGCTGACTCTGATGCATACAATTCCTTACTGTTTTGGACAAAACTTTTGGGGAAAGAACGATTTTACAGGATGAGTTCTAACCCAGAAAAGAGCAACAAAGTACAGAAAAGAGCAACAAAGATGATTAGGGGACTGGAGGCTAAAACATATGAAGAACGATTGCAGGAATTGGGTATATCCACTTTAATGAAAAGAAGGACCAGGGGTGTCACGATAGCAGTGTTCCAATATTTAAGGGGCTGCCACAAAGAAGAGGGAGTCAACCTATTCTCCAAAGCATCTGAAAGCAGGACAAGAAGCATTGGATGAAAACTAATCAGGGAAAGAACCAACCTAGAACTAAGGAGAAATTTCCTGACAGAATAATTAATCAGTGGAACGACTTGCCTCCAGAAATTGTGGGTGCTCCAACACTGGACGTTTTAACAAGAGATTGGATGACCATTTGTCTGAAATGGTACAGGGTCTCTTGCTTGAGCAGGGGGTTGGAGTAGAAGACCTCTAAGGTCCCTTCCAACTCTGTCATTCTATTATTCTATTATACTACACATCACACCTCAAGCTTACTTGCACCTCCTTTCAACTACAAGGAAAAAGTAGCTACTTGGTGCTCCTAAAGCTAATGTGGTTATAAGGAATTAATCATGAATATTTTCTTACTCTTATGTTTTAGTAGGCCAGTTAGAGCCATTTCTGCATCGAAATAGTTTAGCCACAGGTTAAGTCATGGTAGCCTCACTGCTCAACTATATAATTTGCTCCGTGCCAGTCCTGGGCTTTTCATCACCCTCGGGACACATCTGCCCTTTGGCTGTCCATATCCAGCCTGTGTGAAGTCAGTTGGAAATTAGAAATTAAATGTAAATAAGTGTACACCATGCATGCAATACAAATGTATTTCTTTTATTTTGAAGGAGACTGCTATATACATTTTTTAATTTATGTATGTGCATGCATGCCTATGCACTTTCATAGCCCTCCATAAGAGTTCCAGTTTCTCATGTGGCCCCTTGGGAAAATTAATTGCCCTTCCATGTTCTATGCTCTTATGCATGAACTGGAACTGGAACTGGTTTAAAATTCACAGCTGTATAACATCCTTGCTAAAAGTGTTGCACTTCGCCTAATTTCTACCAGGTTAAGTTTATGACTGTGGTATATTAATATGGCTTTAACTAATCTGAGGTTGACATCAGATCGGGAACAGTTGATTGTCATAGAGAACATCTATGTGGTTCTTAAGAGCTGCCCCCAACATGGAAGCATATAATCAACCAACCAGAAAGAAGAATGTTCCTACAGCTGCAGCCATTCCCTCTCTTTCTGAAGCTTGTACTATGTCACACTTTGTGCATTTGAAAGATGCCCTAAAAACAGTTTTATTGATGTTGGCATTGGATGCTTTATAGCAGACATATTGAAGGCCATGGGTTTATGTGTTTTAAATCAAAGGTCCCCAACCTTTTGAGCACCAAGGACCGGTTCCTGGAAGAGATTTTCCCACGGACCGGAGGGTGTGTAGTTTTGTGTGCTGCCTGCATCCCACGGATGGGGCTTTGCTTGTTTGTGCGGCCCGTGGCAAGAAAGGTTGTAAAATTGGGCAAAACTCAACCAATGTCTCACTTAACAACATAAACTTTGGGCTCAGTTATGGATGTAAGTCGAGGACTACCTGTAGCCTGGCTCATCTTAAGGCACTATAGAGGTTTGTGGTGCGAAGGAATCACAGGGAAGATGGATGGGGAAACAGAAATGATAAAAGAAACATGCAGACCAAAGGGAGGGGACGGCTTGCCTCATTCTTCCATCTCCCTCTCAAAATGCACAGCGAAATTGTAAGTTTGGGACCAGAATAAAGTGACAGAAATGCAAAAAAAACCCCACTCAAATACACTGCTTCAAACAGCGAAGGACCGATTGCCTTTTTCTGAAGGCTTTCAAAAATGACTTCCCTGTCAAACCTGTTCATCAAAGCAAGCAAAAGGTTTCAGGATGTAAACCCATCCTCCAGGGTTTATTAGTTATCTGTCTGCAAGATGTTTTATATGCGGAAGGCCCCCTCCTCTTTTCTCCATCCAGGATGTTTCAGATTTCAATTCCTGGGAACGTCAACTTCTGTAGTAACCGTGGGAGTTGCAAGGCAGCTGGCAGATGCCAGCTCGAGAGAGACAGATTCTGAAGTGCTGCAGCCTGGTCCCATCGCCTCCAATTCCTATCTCCTTTTCCTGCAGAGCCTTCACGATCGCTGTTTGCTGTCTCTGGGAACGCATCTCCAGCGCGAAGAGTAACACCGTGTCCTTTGTACTGAGTCATAGGGAACCTGAGGGGTAACAGAAGCCGAAGCACAGTCAGGCCAAACAGAGCAAGTTTCATTGGCACACCGGTAGACTTGTATCACTGGGTACGTGCCACTGTGAGCCTGGTTGCCCAATTATGTTCTTCTCCAGGAGAGATCCTGTTTGTGGATAGAACACCGGGACATGAAGGAATGCAGCACTGCCCCCTGCTGGACAAAAGCATCATCTCAGTCCATTATGGCTATTACGCAAGCAAGTTTGGACATTACTTTTGAAGAAAATTCAGCGGTTGTATGATTGGGTGCAGGCCTGGGAATACACGAGAGCACGATGCAAAGGGGGTGGGGGTGGAGAGGGAAAGGCCAGAAAACTGATGGAGGAAAGGTTTTAATCAATCATGTGCCCTGGTCTTTTGAAAAAAAAAAAGCAGTTGGTAAAAAAATTCAGAGCACTGATAAGTAGACTTCTTTGGCAGGAGAAGCTAATGTGAAAAGGAGCTCAGAGCAAGTGGGAGTTAAAGGGAGACACAATTTCTGACACTTCCAGGGAGGAGCAAAAATGAAAGCAGAAGCCAGCATTGGCCAGGTTTCATCTATAACAGTGGTGGCAAACCTATTGCACGTGTGCCAGAGGCGGCACTCGGAGCCCTCTCTGTGGGCACACCTGTCGTTGCCCCAGCCTTGCCTCCCCCCATGACCCCCTCCTCACCAGCAGCCCCCCTGGAGGAGAGTCACCCCCGAGCATGGCCCACATGGAGCAGCGCAGCCAAGGACATGGCAGCCAGGCAGCGTAGACAAGACTCTGCTCTCACACCCCACCATGCATAGTTGATGTTGCGGGGCGCGGGCAGAGGGCGTGGCTGCCATAGCGCTGCTGGGCTGCCTGGGCAATCTGCGGTGGGCCCTGGAGGCGGTGAGTGGCCCTGAGGGCAGGCGGGGTGGCAGCAGGGCAGGGGGTGGAGTGGAGGTGGGGCCAGTTTTGGGGCACTCGGTCTCTAAAAGGTTCGCCATCACTGATCTAGAGCAGTGTTTCCCAAACTTGCACCCAGTTCTGGATACCACACTAGACAATTCAGAGAGTGGAAGAGGTTCAAAGAATAACGATGAGGTGGATCCGAAGATTAGACACGGGACAGATTGAAGGAAGTGGGTGTTTTTAGTCTTAAGATGAGTAAATTGAGAGTGGATGGCAGCAATCTTCCAAAATATTTCACAAAGGAAAAAACAAACATTTATTCTTCATCATTCCAGACTGCAGGCCATAGAATATTTTTTTTATCTTTAAAAGAAGTATATAGTCTGACTGAAAGCTAGGAAAAAAATTTAAAAAATCATAAGCCGAGGTGGCGCAGCAGTTAGAGTGCAGTACTGCAGGCCACTTTAGCTGACTGTGTTCAACAGGTCAGCGGTTCAAATCTCACCGGCTCAAGGTTGACTCAGCCTTCCATCCTTCCGAGGTAGGTAAAATGAGGACCCAGATTGTTGGGGGCAATGTAAATATATATATATACATTGCTTACTGGTGTACACCGCTTAGAGAGTGCTTGCACTTAAAGCGGTATATAAGTCTCATAAAATAAAATAAATAAATAAATAAATAATAACTAAAATCAATCTGAGAACAAGAAGCGGTTAGGCAAAAAGATGGATCCCTTCGCTTGATGCGTTTACATGAAAAGGCTTACCTCCTGCCTCTATGATATTATATGTGAAACTGAGCCAGCAAGACAATTAAAAAAAAAAAACAAAAGTTGATCAAAAAGAGCCCTGATCCCAAATCTGTTTAGAAGCAAACCTCACCACCAACAAAC